GACAGTTGTGGAAATGTAACACACGCGTGCCACATCTGGATGCAGGCTTGCATAACTAAGAGTATTCTGACTGTGTCGTGCTGAAAGTGTTACTCGTGCAGCACATCCTGTTTGTGAGGATGCTTCAGGTCTGCTCCTGCTTTCATCTCTTAAACACTCTGCTGTATTTATGTGTAAACACACTGAATGAATTTGAATTGAACCTAATGATGCTCCACCTTTAGAATCATAACAATGATCATAATGAAACCACACCCTCTTTCTCCTCTCTGTGACGAAGCCTGACAGCGGCTGTGTCAGCGCACCACTGAGCAAAGATGCTACATGCACTTGGTGGCGTACAGTAGAGGCAGGCTGTGATGGCGTCTGCCTGTCCCCGCCTGCACGACATATCCCGCCGCCTCGTCTCCAGCCAGCCTGCCCACAACGCCCCGCTGCGGCGATGTGCGAGGGTGACTGGTGGAGGCGGGGCGGTACTGATCAGGCAGTGGATGCAGCACGGCCGAGTCTCTTAACGGTTGGCCCTTACTAACCTTCAGGTCTCTGTGCACTAAGCCATTTGTGTGACAATGATTTACACTTTCTACACTCTGCTGTATGCAGTGACTGTGGAGGCAGACCAGGCCAGAAGCAGAGAGGAGAGGGAGGACGGGTCAGTGTCCGACAGCTGGAGCAGCAGTGACAGCTGAACATCGAAAAGGAACAGTTCAGTGTTCGATGGCGTGAAGACTTTCTGCAGTGCGAGCTGCTGCAGAGGCAGGTCTGTCTTTGCTACAGACGGAAGCAGGAAACAGCTAAAGTGTCAGGAATACAGCTGCTTGGTAACAAACTTTGCTCACTGTCAGGACCTAAAAAGGTCAACTTTAAATATTCTGGATCCTACGGCCGCACTACAAACACAGGAACAGATAACAGAGGAGGAGAAGCACACAGGTGAGACGCACGAGAGACACGAGGACGCTAAACTAACCTACAGGAAGCTTAACGGCGAGACGAGGGATGCATTCAAAGACACACACCAAGGACACGACTAGAAACACGAGCAAAGACTACACAGGCGCAGCGGTGACCATGAGCGATGAATACACTGCAGCATGGACATGATGGCTGCACAAGCTCGGTGACGGTAAACAGCTCAGCTGTTTCCATCCACTCGTCCTGAGCATCTTTACAGGGCTTTGGGTTTCTAATGTGAGTGCACGTTTTCTTCTCCTGCAGGACTTTGAAAGCAACGGTGCACGAGCTTGGGTTTATTTGGCATTTCTCTCCAGTCACACAGCTTAAAATGATGCTTTTAGCCATCAACAGGATTCGGGGATGATTCTGTCGGTATATTTGACCACCGTCACCGATCTGAACATGTTGGCTCGTGGTCCGGGCCCTGAAGCGGAGGCGGAGCAGCATGTTGTCCTGTCCTGCTGGAGAACCCAGCTGTGCTTCTTACCTGCACCGCTGTCAGCAGAACAGCTCCTACAGTCCGCACGGTGCTCTCAGGTTTAGGAACCTCAGCGTTACTCCTCAACATAAGCCTCTTGTCATCGGGGCCAAACAGCTCTTTGTCCTGTCCCACCGTCAAACTTCATTTTGAAGATTTATCCACACGGACACTGTGTGGTCGGCAACCTCTCCAACCACGGTGGTGGAAAACTCGCTTCACCACAGTCTTGAGCCTTAATGGTTCCCAGGTTGATCCTGGACTTCCTAACTTCCTCTCCTCTGAGGGTGACGGCGAGGCTGCACTGAACTTTGTCAAACAAATCCAAAGACAAGCTACCAGCTGTAGTCAATCATGATGACTACAACACAGTAACGTGTCACTGTGGAGCCTCCTGCAGCACTTCCTGTGGGCGTCTATACATAACTAAGCCTTCATGTAGACTCTTGGCTTTGTGAGGATTGGAGAAAATCCTAAATAAATTCAAACGTGTGTGTCCAGCAGTCAGTGAGAGAGCCACTCAGAGCTGTCAGCAGCTACGGTGCAGGAACCAGGGACAGTGTTTGACGAAGGTTTCTGCTGCTGTCCAAGGAGCCATCTGTCTCGGCCCCGTTAGAGAACCAGCCTGCGACAGTGCAGGTCTGACAAACTGTGGACAGCACTGTGCAAACATCTTAGGCAGGTGAAAACGCTGTAAACAAAGAGAGCTTTCACTGTTTAAGGAGCCCAAACACAGCCGAACTCAGCAGGAACTCGTTACTGTGAGAGGAACAAGCAGCGCTGAAGTGACGCCCCCCTGATCTCAACGAGTGTGTCTGCGATCAGAGACCTGAGGACGCCCACATCCACAGAACATCTGTGCGTAGTTCTCCCAGATGTTTGCCAGCTGACTTCCTTCAAAAACTGTGTGGAAGTGGACGTAGAAGAAGGCGAAGGCGCCACCAAACTGATGTGATTTTGTTCACTGCGTCTTGTTGCCTGCTGAGAATAAATGATTAACACTCTCTGCGTGCAGCATTGTTCCTCACCTTCTGCTGCACGTTTGGCATCAGTAATTATTTCTGCACAGGTACCTGCACCAGCGTTTGAGGCTTAACCAAAGCGTTCGTAGAGCTCGGCTGAAGAACATCAAGCACAGACCGTAAAGTCCTGCCAAAGCATCAAGCTTCCACAGACAAGTGCTGAAGCTGAAAATCACATACAGCCATCGTGCACTCAGCCTGAGGTGGCAGCTGTACTCTGACTCTGGGGTTTTCCTCTGCTCCCAATCTGTGTCCTAAATACATCACCCACTCAATAAAGTCACACGTATGAACTGCTGAACTGTTCCTTCAAGTTGTTAAGAGAAAATACAAAGTTTGCTTCATATAAAACACAAACTCCACCACAAACAGCATCAACTAGGTGCAACTGTCCCATAACTCCTGCAGGAAGGAATAAAACCTGCAATGGAAACCTTTAACATGTTACACAAAAGTCACTCTGGATCAGGGATGGGTGCCGCTGTCCGGTGCCATGATGGCAAAAGATGCAAACTCAGCAGCCTGCAACAAGTGCTTTAAGCTGATACTGTGATACTGTCGGAGCCGGAGTCAGCAACATCCCCAAGAACCCGAAGAATAGAGTCCTGGCCCCTAGCCCTGCCAGTGTAGCAGAAATGATGAGGATGATGATGCAGCAGCCGTTCTTCTCTGCGTGAGTAGCTTAATGTTGTTCG